GGCAGGCAGATGATAGCTGACTGGCTGCTGGGACTGGGAATGTACCCCGTACGTCTCCCCCGCATACACACGTATACACACACGTATAGACTCCAGCTCCATCCCACGACTCACAATCCCCCCCACCGACCGCAGGGCTATCATCACCTTAACCATGAACCGTAAGGTTGGCCCCAGCCCCCTTAACCCCCATACAGACTTACATACGCCGTACATATTACCCGTTCGTACAATCTCCGTACGTATTTTTTCGCACCCACCTTCCCAGGTCAACAACGGCAGCTATCGCGAGCTGCTGTTGGGGCCCCCGGGTGCGTTGACAGGGGAGAACGCAGTAGCGACAGAAACAGGGCCGCCGGAAGGACAGCCGGCAGTAGCAGTAGCACGAGCAGCATCAGCGGGGCCAGTAGCAACAGCAGCAGCAGCAACAACAACAATAACAACGACAACATCAACGACAACTTCACTAAGAGCGGGAGTACGCGCAGGAGTTGCGCAAGGCTGCTGCACCCGGGGTCGCGGCCGCTACAGCCAAGACCAAAGTTGCATCCAGAGCCAAAACGGCAGCTACAGCCAAAGCTACAGCTACCGCCTGGATGACTATCCGGTGCTACGGCCGGATTTGGAGGCTATCCCTTCGTTTCTCCTGTTACAACGGCCAGCCACGGGCGCGGCGGCAGGCACTCGCGGGCAGCAGCGGCGGCGGGCCGCGGCGGCGGAGGCGATGGAGAAATTCCTGTCGGGACGTGGGCCGTCGGCGGCGCCGACAGAGAGGGGTGCAGCCGGCGCGCATTCCATTGCTGCTGCTGCCGCCGCCGCCGCCGTTGCTACTGCCGTAGTGGTGGAGGCTGAGGCGGGGGAGGGGGAGAAAGGAGCTTATGTCGGCGCTGCAGAGGGGGGTCGACGGGTGGAGGAAGACGTTTGAGGATGGGGAGGGGTGGTGAGGGAGGCGGAAGCCGGAGGGTTTGCTGAGGGTTTCGGAGCGGCGGCCGCTGGTGTTTGTCCTAAAGAAGAAGATGATGATGAAGAAGAAGTAATAGGAGAGGACGTGGCCACGCTGTGAAGTTTGCAAAATCCCGCGTCCTAGGAACCGTTATAGAGAAACAGCTGTAGAACGGCTGTGGTCGGCGCTATCATTAGTGCTATATGGTTGGGTGGGCTGTAACGTCCATATTCAGGAAGATCTAGCGGACTCCGACTTCGTAGTAATTGATCGGGACTGAGGACTAGTTGTCCTGATCCGTAATGGAGCAGCTAGATGAATTGTGCGAGCAGAAAAGACGTTATGGTCAAGCACTTTACAGTAGACGCATGGCTTCCCTTTGATTGATTGGGGGTGGTGTGTTGCTGCTTGCTAGTCGCAGGTCACTATTCCTGCGAGAGTTCGTTAGGGTCGGTCGTTAGAATGCTGGACAGAGGAAAGGGCTTCGTATGACCGATGACATCCTTTACTTTTAGGCTAATACTTTCCTTTGTGCGTTCTGTGATGGACGGGCAGGCAAATAAGTTGCCAAATCACGCATTGGCTTAGTGATCAGCAACCAGCAACCGTCGTCAGGCATCGTGTCTTCGTTTCCGAACTCGTGTCTTCGTTTCCGAACTCCGAAACAGCATATGCCTTGTACCATCCATAACATCTTTAATCAATGCACCACTACCCTTTGGTTGCGGGTTCGGGACACTGGAATGGCAACAAAATTTATTGCCTCCTCTAGCCTTTCCATATCTTGAATCGCTGGCCTTTCTTGTTAATAAATTGAAATTTCCATCAACAAACCAATCCATGAATAAGATAGGATTTTTTTCCGGAACCCCTCTTTTGCGCTAACTCGTTCCTTGCTTGTTGAAAAGAATGGAACCTGCCGGTGTTCCGGACTGGCTCCCACAAATGGAGTTGCTGTTTGGATCAGGTGGCGATGCCGCGCTGGTGCCTGCTCGAGGGGAGCTCTTGCCCCCGCTGGTGCAGGTGCGAGTGGAGTAGCAAGGGAGGCAAATAAACTGTAAAACTTGCTAAGCATCATAACTATTTTACGATTATCCTTGTGGATTGTGGCTACGGCTGAGCTGGTCAGGTCTAGCTCGGTTGAGAAAATGTTCGTTGCCAACTTGGCCCACAAAGCAATAACCGCAGCTGAGCAGCTCTGCGTGTGGAAGTGGGCCCCGAAGCATAAGCGATCTTTTACTTCTTTGCTCTGAGCTGGCGCTGAATTAACCCCGCCTCCACCGTTCTGCTCACGGATATGGATTGGCAAAGGAGCACGCTTTGCCATGCATCGGCCCTGCCTTCGAGCGTTGTTTTGCATCCTACGCTTCCCGTAGATCCCCCAGACGCCTCCCCTTATCACAAGTACCTCCTTCAATCCCTTGCATGTACCGCTCTGTCTTCCTTTTCCACCTCACCCCCTTCCACACCACCACCACCACCACCACTACCCCACCGGCGAATAGGCCCCACCCTTCAGCGCCCTTGGTGCCGGCGCGTTCGCTGCTGGTGGCGCTTCCGCCGCAGCCAGCGAAGCCGTACTTGCTGCTGTACGGTCCGCCTACCTGGAGCACGACATCTCGAAGGCGCTGGCGGCATCGCTACCGTACATCGGTACGTGGTCACTTCATACCCTACTTCATACGGCCGGCAAGAGCAGCGAGCGACCTTTGCTTGATTTCTCGTTGCTTGGCTGCTCTTATGGCATTGAGTGCACCTTGCTGCTACTAGTATCTTACCGCATTTCTTCTCCGCCACCTAATGCCCCCTCTAAGATGGCCTTAGTATTATATAATACCCCTCAACCCACCTCCACCCCCCCCTCGCTGTCTACCTGTTAAGCGCCTCAATATCCCACACCCCACCCCACCCCACGTCACTTGCGTTCTCTATCCCCCCCCCCAAACACACAGCACACCCCCTCCTCACTCTGTTCCCACGCGCGCCCGCCTGGCCGGATGTATCGCTGCCATCCGCCGTGGTGGAGCCCACGCCGCCGCCGCCGGGGGGCCGCGAGTACGACGTCGGATGGCAGGTGGTGGAGCTGGCGGCGGCAGCGACAGCGGCACCTGACGGCTCCTCCTCCTCCTCCACCGCCGCCGCCGCCGCCGGCAGGATTGACAGCTTAGCGTTACAGCGGCGGTTGGCAGCACGTGGCGGCGGCACGGACTCGAACTGGCGGGGGCTCTCGGTGTCATTGCCGTACATGCCAGGTACGAACGCAGCGGCGGCGGGAACCGCGACGAGTCACCATCGCCGCCGTTGCCACCGCCGCGGGGTCGTGGGTGATGTTGGCACCCCCAAGACCTTGGCACACACATACAGACACACATACATACATTGACATACAGACAGACACACATACAGACAGATATCCATACAGACAGACACACATACAGACACACACTGGCCCGTGTGCTCCAGGTGGCGGTGTGGCGGTACTCGCTCCCTCGGGTCCGGCGGCTGCGGAGGCCGCTAGCGGACTGTGGCTGGCACAGCTGGAAGCGGGACTGGACCGACCCATGGGTCTTCCCCTGGTGGCGGCACCAGGCCTGGGGACCGGACTGTTTGGCGGCTGGGCGGCGGCGGCGGCGGGTGAGGGAGCGTTCGACGGCACGGCGGCGGCGGCGGCCACATCGGCGCTGCCGCTGCAGCGTACGGCAGGCGTACTGCAACCGCTCCCGCTGACGACGCCGGCTGGTGAGCGGATCAAGCCGCTGGCGGAGGCTTTGCAGGGCGGAGGCGGAGCAGCTGCCGCAATCGCTGGATCTCAACTTGGCGGTGAGGGTACGGCAGCGACTGGATCTGGATCCAGATCCCGTGCTATTGCGGGAACGTTTGCGGATCTTTGGTTGGAACCGGAACTGGCGGCAGTGTCGGAGGTCGAAGAGCACGGAGAAGACGCAGCGGAGGGAGCTGGTACGGATGGTACGGCACGGCGCCGCGGTGGCGGCAGTGGTGGTGTACTTGCGGAACTGGAGACGAGGACGGCGGCCGCGGAAGCGGAGGGTGACGGCAGGCTGGCGGAGGTGTTGGCGGCGGCGGCGGCGGCGGCCACAGCGGTGAGGGACGGCGGCGGCCGCGGCGGCGGCGGCGGAACGGACACGACGCCGCGACGTGACCAGGTTGGTTCAGACAAGGACGGCGGGCAGGAGCTGCGAACTGGGGTTTCGCGCTCTGTACGGCAATGCGTTGATACACAGAATGACACTGCCATTGTCGTACATGTGTGTGTGTGTTTATATGTGTGTGTTTGTGTGATTCAATGATCTGAGCCGCGGGCAGAAGCTGGCACGTGTGTGCGTGTGTGTATTTCCCCCCGAGCCCTGTTGCTCGTCCTCGCAACGCAACCCCCCACGTTTCCTTTCCCACTACACCACACACACACACATACACCCTCCCCCGTCCCATTTCCCCCCCCCCCCCCCGAAACACACACCCATCAGCGTCTCCCCCCCACCGCAACCAAAGGCCTGCCCGGGGGGCCTACCCCCGATCACCCCTTCGCCGCCCGCCACAGCATTCGAAATGTGGATGAGGAGTTCGAGAAGGTATCGTATCTGTACGGAACCCACGAAAATCCTTAGAACGCATAAACGCCTCAAATCTGCTGCTGCTATGAAAACCGCATAGGAGGCCTTCATGACCCTGTCAGGCTGTTAGCTATCCGCCACATGTTCATGTACCCCGCATACACGTGATTAGTACGGAGGCGTTGCTTCATTTAATATCTCCTATAGTTTACGACAGTCATATACGTTATCCTCCCATGCGCCCAGTCATAGCTCCCCTCCCCTCCTCCCCTCCACCCCTCCTCCCCCCCTCCTATTGCCCCCGGGGTGGGTGGTGTGTTTTCTGCAGCTCCGCCCCCGCCTCGCGCTGCACTACCCCTTTGAGCTGGACACGTTCCAGAAGGAAGCCGTACTGCACCTGGAGGCGGGCAGGAGCGTGTTTGTGGCGGCGCATACCAGGTATGTATGTATGTACGCATGGAGAGATGGAGGGATGGAGGGATGGAGGGATGGATGGAGGGATGGATGGATTACCTCCCCCCTCCCTTACTCTCCTTTTCCTCCCTTTCCCCCCCCACACACATACACAACCCCACCTCCTCCACCTCCTTCACCTCCTCCAGCGCCGGTAAGACCGTTGTGGCGGAATACGCCTTCGCCCTGGCCACCCAGCACTGCACCCGGGCGGTGTACACCTCGCCCATCAAGACCATTTCCAACCAGAAGTTCAGGGATTTCTCGTCCAAATTTGAGGTGGGTACGGTAATTTAAGATGTACGGTGTACGGGGGCCGTGGGTGAGAGCTGGCTTGGGCGTATCGAGCGCATACGCGTTGGAACGGATATACCTCCGTTTCTGTGGGTGGATGACTGCGGCATGTGAATTATATGTGTGTATGTACGTATGTGTGTGTTGTGGTAGAGTATATACATATATACATATATAGTTCCGACTGCTCATCTTCGTAACGGCTTTGCTGGCCAGGTGGGCCTCCTGACGGGTGACGTACAAGTACGACCAACCGCGCCGTGTCTAATCATGACCACCGAGATCCTCCGGTCTATGCTGTACAAGGTACGGCACTGGTACGGCACGACACAGCTTTCTTCGGGCGTGCGAGTTTATACTAGACGGGTTTCCACCGTCTAACCAACATGAACGGCCGCTGTACGGCACTGACGCACAGTACGACACGATACGATACAGTACGCTGTTTGTCCACTGGTGGTATAACCGAAGCCACCTCTTTTCCCCCAACACTCTTCCCGCGGTCCCTTCTTGTACGGAAATGCTTTGCGTGTGTGTTTTTCATCCCTTCCTGGCCCCCTTTCCGCCTTTTCAACCCGCCCAATGGACTCCCCCCCCCCACCTCCCCCCCGCGGTGCCCGCATTCCCCTTCGGAACGACGAACGACGAACGACTCTTCAACTTCATTATTTCCTTTCCTTGCCGGTTCCTCTTCCTTTGCCGTACTTCCGTACTCCTCTCCCTCATATCAACCCTTCATCCTCCCCCTCCCCTCCCCCGCTTCCGCTGTGTACCCCCACCCCACCCCCCTTGCCAGGGCGCCGACCTGATCCGTGATGTGGAGGTGGTGGTGTTTGACGAGGTGCATTACGTGAATGACGTGGACCGCGGTGTGGTGTGGGAGGAGGTGAGTGAGGGAAGGGGGGCCTTGAGGTTTGGGGCCGGGGGGAGGGGCGGAGGGGGGGGGGCCGGAGAGGAGGGGGGCTTAGGGACCGGGTGTTGCGGAGGATGTAATTGGAGTTTATTGCTGATGGGGGCAATGGGGGGTTGAGAGGGAGGGGGCATAGAGAAGAGAGTCGTTTTGCAGGGCCCTATGAGTTTCGACAGAGCTTAATTTTTCATTATACCCCCCCCCTTTCTCTCCCTCCCATTTTCTTAATTTACTGCGTTCATTGGAAATTTGTACGATGGCAATTCATCCTTGCATCACGATCATGATCACACCCTCCCCTTTTCCCCTCCCAAAAAAACACATTCCCCCAGGTCATCATCATGCTGCCTCCCCACATCACCCTCGTACTGCTGTCCGCCACCGTACCCAACGTCATGGACTTCGCCGACTGGGTGGGACGAACCAAGAGAAAAGTCATTCACGTGACAGGCGCGCGCGCGCGTGTGTGTGTGTGTGTTTTGGGAAAATTTGGGGGTTAAAGGGCGGGGGGAGAGGTTGTTTATGGCCTTTGAAGTGTATCTGTTTGTATGTACGGATGTGTTTTGTGACATGGGCCACGGGAAGGGTAACCCGAAGACGTATGTATGTACCTATGTATGTGTGTACGTGTGTATGTATATATGTATGGATGTATTGATGTGCGTAGCTGCGCTCCCGCAATTTAATTGCAATGGCCGCAACCCCGGGAACTGCCAGCGGCCCGCTTTTACTGCAACATCACATCATCCACCCCCCTCATATGCGCTCCTGCACACATACACACACACACAAACCCCTCCCCCCCACCCCCATTTCCCCCCGGCAGGTACGACCAAACGTCCCGTGCCGCTGGAGCACAGCCTCTACTACGGGGGGGAGATATACCCTATCTGCTCCAGGGAGGTTTTCAACCCGGAAGGATTACGTAAGGCGCAGGGGGCTTATAAGGCCCGGAACGCGCCACCGGAGCGTGGCGGCGGCGGTGGCGGCGGATTTGACAGCGGTGGAGGTGGCGGTGGAGGTCGCGCTGGTGGCGGCGGTGGGGGTAGTGGCGGTCGTGGAGGCGGCGGCGGCGGCGGCGGCGGCGGCGGTTACCAGGGTCCCCGCCCCGGCGGCGCTGACGCAGCTCGGCGGCAGATTGCCGGTGAGTAACCTGGACGATCTGTCTCTAGGCAACAGCGGCCCTCGGCGAGCAAGGGCCGTATCCAACTACTTGTCGTACAGTAACCGCCCATGCCCCTCAAAACGCCTCAATAATCAACCCCGCCTAGCTGCGCCGTGATGAAGCGCGTGCCCTGCAGTGGAGAGGATTAAAAACGCTGCTTGCGTTGGGTTACATGTGTGCCGGTACGGCATGTGTATTTCCCCTTCCTTTAGTTAAACAGCGCTTTTGAGTTTTTGAAGGAGCTACTTTGGAGTCATTGGCGGTCACTTGCATCACCTCGCCGTGGTGCTGTCATTACTTTTATCTCCCCCCACCCCCCTCAGGTGCCACCCGTGGCGGAGGGCCCAACCGAGGGGGGCCCGGTGGGGGAGGAGGGTTTCGGAGCGAGCGGCAGCAGCTCCTAGAGCTGGTGGGGGTCCTGGGCAAGAGGGCCATGCTGCCGGTGGCCGTGTTCTGCTTCAGTAAGAAGAGGTGGGGGGGAGGGGGAGGGGGAGTGGGAGTGGGAGTGGGAGTGGGGGGGTATGTTTGTGTGGGTGTGTGTAGGGTTTGTGTGTAGGGGTGATGCGAATTCGCGTACGTCGTACATATGGCCCAGGAGCAATGGCACCACTTCGAAGCGGGTCACCCAAACCTCTCACTCCGCCACCACGTCCCCAAACCCCTTGGCTGGTTACATGTCGTGAAACTGCGTACGACATTGACGTACATTTGTATACGTGTGTCGTACGTAGGTGTGACATATGCGCTGACGCGCTGTCCTCCCTGGACCTTGCCACCGGCTCTGAGAAGGCTGCCGTACACTCGTTTGTGGACCGGTGTTTGGCTCGACTGAAGGAAGGTGACCGGCAGCTGCCCCAGGTGGGGGGGAGGTGTATGGGACGTGTATGGGGGGAGGGTTTTGTGTTTTTGTGTCTGTCTGTCTGTCTGTCTGTCTGTCTCTCTGTCTCTCTGTCTGTCTGTCTGCCTGCCTGCATGCTTATTTGTCTGTCTGTGTTTTTGAAACGGTAACGTGCACGTGTTTGGTCCATCCGTGTTTGTGTCTTAATGACTAAATTTGTGTATATATGTATGTATGTGTGTTTGCCTTGACAAAACCATGAGAGCTTGGGGTGTGGGGAGAGAACGTCGTATTTTTGTGGTGACGCAAGGTAAGTACGGATGTCATAAGGTAAACCAGGATGCAGCACCAGTCGTACAACAACATAAACAACAACATAAGCAACAACAACAACGAGAACATCAGCACCCATTCCCATCCCAAGGTACCCCCGAGTGACATGTCCCGCACGAATGCGGGTTTGTTCCTCAAAGCCTGAGGGGGGGGCCCCATGGACTACTACATATAAATTGAACTTCCCTTTTCATCCTCCTCGCCAGTAGCTTTGAAGCCGCCGTACCCATTTTAAGACTGCCGTACCTCCTCTCCCTCTCTTTCCCCCTGCTTTCCCCCCCTTTCAGATCCTACGTCTTCGCGACATGATGCGGCGGGGTATTGCCGTACACCACGCGGGGTTGCTACCCATCATGAAGGAGGTGGTGGAGATGCTGTTCTGCCAGGGATACATCAAGGTGTGACCCCGCGTGCGTGTGTGTACGTATGTATGTATGTATGTATGTATGTATGTATGTATGTATGTATGTATGTATGTATGTATGTATGTATGTATGTATGTATGTATGTATGTATGTATGTATGTATGTATGTATGTATGTATGTATGTATGTATGTATGTATGTATGTATGTATGTATGTATGTATGTATGTATGTATGTATGTATGTATGTATGTATGTATGTATGTATGTATGTATGTATGTATGTATGTATGTATGTATGTATGTATGTATGTATGTATGTACATGCATCTACAACACACAAACACATCCGCCCATAGCTCTCTCACCCCACCTCCCCCCCCAACGACGGGCAGCAGCTTCACTCGTTTGTGGTTCGTCTTCCCCCCCAACGACTCCTCGGCTGCCCCAGGTTCTGTTCTGTACGGAAACCTTCGCCATGGGGGTCAATGCCCCCACCCGTACGGTGGTGTTTCACTCACTCAGGAAGCACGACGGAAAGAACTTCAGGTGAGTGTACGAACTAAGAGAGTGAGTGTACGAACTAAGAGAGTGAGTGTACGAGCTTCCATGCGTTCTTGTGGTGCAACAGCAAGAACTGGTTCCTGACTGCAGCAGCAGCAGTAGCAGTAGCAACAGCAGCAGCAATAGCAGTAGCAGCAGCAGCAGCGATAGCAGTAGCAGCAGCAGTAGCAACAGCGATAGCAGTAGCAGCAGCAGCAGCGATAGCAGTAGCAGTAGCAGCAGCAGCAGCAGCAGCGATAGCAGTAGCAGCAGCAGCAGCGATAGCAGTAGCAGCAGCAGTAGCAACAGCGATAGCAGTAGCAGCAGCAGCAGCGATAGCAGTAGCAGTAGCAGCAGCAGCGATAGCAGTAGCAGCAGCAGCAGCAGCAGCGATAGCAGTAGCAGCAGCAGCAGCGATAGCAGTAGCAGCAGCAGTAGCAGCAGCGATAGCAGTAGCAGTGCGAATTGACATTCTTTTGCACACGGTGTCTTCGGAGGAGGGGGCTGGTCCTAAGAGAAGGGAGGAGACCCGACCCCGACCCCGACCCCCTGGGTGGGCACCGGACAGCGGCGAGCGGCGACATGACCTCTCTCTATTTCCTCTTATCCGCCGTTTCTTAATTTTCGCCGTACATGCCGTACATGCAGATACCTCCTTCCCGGGGAGTACACGCAGATGGCAGGTGGTTGGGGGAATGAGGGGGAGTGAAGGGGCGGGGAGGAGGAGGGCGGGAAGGAAACACATTCATTGTGTTGTATAATGGCGTGCTTGTGGGGAGGGAAAGGGGAGGGGGGAAGATGCTGTTCCCCCGAAACTCTAGGAATGCCCAAAAGGCCTTATGCACAGCTTCCGTTCGTCTCGCAACCCCCCCGCAACCACCCCCACCCCCCCCGGGGTGTCAGGTCGCGCCGGTCGCCGCGGTTTGGATGCCGTTGGCCACGTGCTGTTGGCGTGCTGGGACGAGCGGGAGTTGTACGGCGAGAGCGAGTTACGTACCATGCTGCTGGGTCGGGGGGTGAAGCTGGAGAGCCAGTTTAGGCTCACGTACGGCATGATTCTCAACCTGCTTCGAGTGGAGGATCTGAAGGTACTGGGGCGGGGCGGGGGATATCTGTCTGGGGGGTGTCTTGGCGTGTGTTCGTGTGTGTGGGTCAGGTAGGAGAAGCCCTTAGTTGGCTGTAATGACGGAAGACCCCATCGTCTGGTCTGATCCGTATCTATGATTTCCCACCACCCCCACTCCGTAAAAAGGTGGAGGACATGTTGAAGCGCTCCTTTGCCGAGTTCCACGCGCAGCGGGCCGCCCCCGCGGGGGCCGCGGAGCTCAGTGACGTGGAGCGGCGGCTGGCGGCGGCGGCGGCCGCCCCCTGGCCCGCCACCTCCCTGGGCTGCTCCAGGGAGGAGGTGGAGGAGTACGCGGACCTGTGCGAGCAGCTGGAAGTGCTGTACGCGCAGTTGCAGGTGTGTGAGGGGAAGGGGAGGGGCGGTGAAGGGGAGGGGGACTGAAATGAGGGTTAGGCTGTATTGGATGTGTGTGGGTTCGGGGGAAGTGCGGTTTGTGTTGTAACTGCGTTTGGGTTCTTTGTCATCGTCTTGTCGTTCGTATGCATGTATGTATGTACATGTGGTGTACATGTATGCCAACAATTACAGGATGCCCTCGTCGCCAACAAGTCGTTCCAGCAAGCTCTGGTGCCTGGTCGGCTCGTCCTGTACGGCAACCCGGTCAACGGGTTGACCGAGCCGGCTGTCGTACTTGGAGATGCCCCGGCGCCGGCACCTCCTTCCTCGTCGACCTCCCCCTTGACGAACAAAACAACCACTACCAACAACCTCACAACCGCTACTGGTAATGCCGTTGGTACGGCAGCGACCAGCGCCGGCAGTAGCAGCGGCCTTGGTCTTGGCATCGGTACGGCAGCAGGCTCAGCGGCATCCGGCGACCGGCGGCTGTTCTTGCTCGTCCTGCATCGGCCCGGCAGTATGGACGAGCAGCATGAGCGGCAGGCCGAGCAGGAGCGACGCTCCAGGGAGGGACCTGCGGCGGGTGGCGGTGGCGGCGGCGGCCTTTCACCGGCAGGCTTTGGCGGCATGACATCGCTCCAATCTCGCAAGCAGCAAGAGCTTGATGGTACGGCATTGGGCCATTTGTACGTTATTCCTGCAGCACATTGTGGATGATGTGCGTTTGGGGTAGGAAACATCCATCTGAGCCTGGTGTGTACGTCTGTATGTATGTGTGGTTTTGAACCGGGCCGCCAGCGTGTATGTATGTATGTATGTGTGTGTTTGGGGGGTTGCATGGCTGGAGATGCTGAAGAAGGGGAGGGGTGAAAAAGGCCCTACGTGTGTCTACGTACGTAGAAACCCCAGCCACGGGGCGGGAGGGGGCGGGGGGTTGTGAGGTCGGCAGGGGGCTCAAGAGGTGCTCAGCGCTCACCACGCGGTGAGGGAGGAGACACCCGTGCGTCGTCGTTGCTCCAGACTTGACATCTTTCAATACCCGGTAGCTACAACCACGAAGCCAACCCCAAATCCTTCCTGGGTGGGGATCGGGGTATCAATTGTGTACGACGCCCCATCTCCGTACATGCGGACTGCTTGCAGATATGTTTGGTGGTATGGTCAAGGTCGGGGGTGGGAAGGGGGGCGGGAAGGGGGGCGGCGGCGGCGGCGGCGGCGGCGGCGGCGGTCCGCCGCGTCCGCTTCCCGTACCTCACTACGGCTCTGAGGCGGGGCTGCACTACTGCGTCGTGGCGGATTGGACACGGTACGGTGTCGTACGTACGGCCTTGAGGGTACGGGAAAATAATGTACGGCAATAATGCTGCTCGTCTGCATTGTTGTCTGTACCTGTATGGTGAATTGGTGATGGAGGAATGTGTATGAGCACGTATGTCCGTCTGTAGATTTATATGTCTACCTACGTATGACCAGCAGCACTTCCACGCTTTCCGATTTGTGTTGTGTGCCGTCGTACAGAAAGGATGCTGAATTGTCGTACAATTGCTTGTGTCGTCCATGTGCCGTACGTGTCGTACATGTACAAAAGGTCCATTGTGGGAGTCTGCCGGGCGCGACTGCGGCTTGACGGCGCCGACGACATCCTCTCTTGCGGGGGAGACTGGACCGCCAATGCCGTACGACGGGCACTGGCGTCGGCGCTCCGCGGTGCGGCACGGGCCGTCGACGAGGCGGCGGCTGACGGCGGCGGCGGCGAGCTTCCGTTATTGGACCCACGGGTCGATTTCAAGATTGCTGACGTGGCTGCCGTACAGGCGATGCTGGCACGCGCCGCGCTGCAGGTGTCCTATATTTTGGGGAAATATACGGGGTTACGCGTTCAGAGCTTAGAGAAGCTCTCAGCAGCTGTTGTTTGTTTTGCTGTTTAACTGTCTTTTTTGCAATCGCATGCTGCTAACGCGACAGTGTGTTTGGATCTAACTGCTACATCACGACCACCACCACCACCACCACCATCGTCGCCAGTAATAGCAACAATGAGCCACTAATCGACCTCCCGCTCCCAACCAGTGCCTCAGAGCGAGAGTCTGAGTCTGGGTCTTGAGTCGGCGATTTTCCCCTTTTCTCCCCTCCCTTCCCTGCCCTCCCCCTCCCCCTCCCCCCCTTCCTTACCAAGTCCCGCCGAGCCGCCCTCCGGCCGCATCGCGACCCCGGGCTGGTGGAGGCCTTCCAGGTGGGTAAGGGGCTGGTAGGCGTGTGTGTATGTATGTACGTATGTATGAATGTGTGAATGTATGAATGTATGAATGTATGAATGTGTGAATGTGTGAATGTGTGAATGTGTGAACGTATGAATGTATGCATGTATGTAAATATGTATGTGTACGGGGGCGGGGGTGGAATGGGGAGAACTAGGGATGAACTTTGTGGTTGTATGTACGTGTATATAAATGTTCGCGTGTTCGTGTTTCCAAGTTTGCAGATGTGACTTGCGGAGAAAGGCGGCCTATTCCGGGGCCCTGTGCACGAAAACACGCACACGTCAAACCACACACACACACATACATACACACACACACACACTCTGATTTCCGCCCTCTCCCGTTCAGCTTGTTCGCACTCACCGTCAGCTGTCCCGGCGGGCGGCTGAGTTACGACACCAACTCAGTGACGCCAGCCTCCAACAGGTGTGTGTGTGTATTGGGGGGGAGGGTTGTGTCAGCAACTTTGGGGGGAAGCCGGGGGGTTGGAGGTTCCTGGTGGTGTGTATGTACGGGGCTGGAAGGGGGGAATCCAGGGGCTGATGGGCTCGGGTGGGGGGTAGAGGGTAAAACAGGGGGGAGGCTGGCTGGGTTTGGCAGTACGGCTTGAGCGCGAAAAGCTGGGAACACCAGCTGCACCCCCCCCGCCTCCCTGTCCCCCGTACCAAGAACGCCTTTTGGTCAGTTCTACTTCTTGTACACTCTTTCCCTGGCAGCAGCTTCACTCGTTCACGGGGTGTTTCCCCCCCCCCCCTCCACGGGGGGCAGTTTGCGGCGTTGGACGTCGTTAGGCAGCTGTGTTGGTTGCTCACATATGATTATCGACCTTTCCCCTGCCTTGACCCCGTACCCCCCCCCCCCCCACACACACACACGCATACAAACGTAAATGCATTTACACGCATACATACATATTTTCATACATAGTATATATGGTACATAATACCTAATGGACACATACATAATACATACATACGTACATACGTTCACACAGCTTCCCGAGTTCGAGCAGCGTGTGGCGGTGTTACAGCGGCTGGGTTACCTGGAGGCGGACAGGTCTGTAACGCTCAAGGGCCGTGTGTGCTGCGAGATACAGTCCACGCAGGTGCGTGTGTATGTATGTACGTACGTATAGGTATAATATGTGGGTATGTATGACTTAGATTACACTGTGGGCCGCGAGAGCCGGGGGCCGAAGCCGAAACACAGCGCAAGGGTCGGGAGCACACAGCACAAGTCGGTTAGTCTTGTGCGCTCCCGACCCCGACTCAGACTGCCAGCACTCTACCCAGCCACTCCGCAGCCCCTCCATCCGGGGATGGCGCTGCAGTGAAAACACCACGAAGGGCTCTCAGGTCCCGCTAGAGCGAGTCCACAAGTCTCAGCTAGGGCAAAGTCAAAGGCTCTCTGAAACAACCCCCCAAAACACCACCCACGAAAACGGGGTATGTATGTATGTGGGTATGTATGTATGTGGGTATGTGTATGCACGTATGGTGTATGTGTGTGTGTGTGTGTGAAGGTCTGGGGGAAGGAGTGCTGGAGGTGTAGCAGAGGGGAACTAGGGGGTCTGCGTGCGGGTATGTGGTGGTGGTGGGGGGTAGGAGTTGGGGCCTTATGGATTCGAGAGGTAGCCTTCTCTCCCACCTCCGCTTTCGCAACCCCCAACCATCCTAACCCCCCCGACCAACCAGCAACCACCACTAACCACCAACTGACCCCCAGGACGAGCTGGTTGCCACCGAGGCGGTTTTCAGCGGGCTGCTGGGCGAGCTCAGTCCCGAGGAGGCGGTGGCGCTGCTGTCGGCATTAGTGTTCCAGGTGGGAGTGTACGTGTGTATGTATGTACGTGCTATTCTGTGTATGTACGTGTGTGATGGATGAGGGGTAGGTAGGGGGGAAAGGGGGGTTGTCTGGAAAACCAAAACCGCAACAGGCTTAGGATTAGGGGCCCCTACCACCAATACACACACACACACACACACACACGCCAACCCCCCTCCCGGCCGCCCGATTCAACCCCCAGGAGAAGTCCGAGGTGGAGCCCCGGCTGCCGCCCTCCCTGGCCTCCGCCCGCGACTCCCTCACCGCCCTCACCGCCTCCCTAGCCGGCATACAGAGGGAGGGCGGACTGGATGTGGTTCCGGAGCAGCACGTGGCGGAGGTGCTGCACTGCGGTCTGATGGAGGTCGGCGAGGGCGGGGGGGGGCGGGGGGGGGGAGGGAAGGAGGGGAACGGCGCGCAAGAAAGGGGAGAAAGGGATGAAACTGCAGTACGGAATCGTCGTACATGGGTTAGAGGGTTTCCAAGGAAAGGATCACATCATCTACACGGGGATGCACTTGACGTGGAACATACCCCCCTCTTCCTCCGGACATTTCCCCCGGTCCCCATGTTTTCGGACATGTTAGTCGGACAGGTCAACAAGGTCGCCTCCTTGATTGTTCCGGGTGAATTGGGACCCCCACTTCCCCTCCACTCCTTTTCCCCCCCTCTTCCCCGCCGGCCCTCTCCCCCCCCCCAGGTGGTGTACGAATGGGCCCGTGGCACTCCCTTCTCCGCCATCACGGAGCTAACCGACGTGATGGAGGGCTCCGTGGTGCGGGCCATGGTTCGACTGGATGGGGCGTGCAGGGAGCTGCAGGTGAGAGGTGGGGTGTGGGGTGTGAGGAGAGAAGCTGGTGAAGGGGCGGCGGAAAATGTGCTGGGGAAGCGAGAAAGGAAGTGTGTGTGTATGTATGTGTATGTTTGTGTTGGTGGTGTTAGGACATGTTTCCTGCCATATGCCATAACGCCGTAATGCCGTTCCACCCGCCCACCAGCCATTTTGCATATAACCCCCCCGCAACCCCTCCCCCCCCTGGATTCACATTGTATATACTTATATTTCTATTTATCATGTTAGACATTTGATGCACATCCCTTTCCCCCTCCCGCCCCCCAGGACGCGGCCCGGGTAATGGGCAACACGGCTCTGTTTCAGCTCATGCAGGCAGCCAGTGCCGCCATAAAGCGTGACGTCATCTTCGCGGCGTCGCTGTACGTCGCGTAATGATGCGTAAACAGTTTACTGTACGGCATTTGATGTACGACACCTGGATGTGCCCATGTTTCGCTGGCTAGCTCTCTCTGGCCGGGCACCTCCAGGAGGAGGGTGCGCCTTTGGTCGCATGGATAGCACATTACATTACATTACATTACATTACATTACATTACATTACATTACAACCACCACAACCTCTACAACCACCACAACGACGGTGACCGGTGCTGCTGGTGGCAGTGGGAGCGGCATGGTGGGGTTATGACTGTCGTGGTGGTGGTGGTGATGATGGGGGCGGTGGTGGGTGTCTTGGGCTTGAGGTGATGATGGCGGGCGCGCTGCTGCTACTGCAGCTGCTGCTGCCGCTGAAACAGCTCAGGGGAGTGATCCGCAGCTGCTTGACGGTTGTAAAGCAAAATGACCTTGTGGTGGAGTTGTTGGACAGCTTCCCTCCTCCGCTGCTTTCAGAATGTGAAGTTTTACACCACCACACCGTCGAACCTCCAGGCGAAATTCCCCTAACCTCGCTGGAAGTGGCTACACCACCACCACCACCACCACCACCACCACCACCGCCACCACCACCAGTAGTACCCTGGCTCAAAACCCTACCTACCTGACCTACCAACCTACCTACCTGACTCTCACGAACTGCACCCACGGGAACGTCATTTTGGGTTGGGTAAACTCCCTCTTCACTGTTAATGTGACAAGCTACAGCCAATGCTACAGCCACCAATGGCCACGTCTTACCGACCTCGCGCCGCCGCTACTGCCGCTATATTGCTGGCTTCCATGGTATCACCTGCTCAAGGTCAACTACTCCCCCCCCCGCACCACCTACAATAACATGATCGCTTTGCCCCCCTCCGGGAGCCCCCCCCCCGCCTGGGGCCTCCTGCCCGCCTCCCTACGGTATGCATGAGATCGTACATGCCGGTACGCGGAACAACATGAAAACCAACCTGCCATGTCTGTAGATGTGTATGCGCAAATGCCTGTGTGCATATGCATGCGTGTATGTACTGCTCTCCGCGCAACAGACGGAGACCCCCTACACACACAATAGCATCTCCGCTACGAAGAGGCGCCCCGCCTGCATTTCTCATTACTACTGATGGGCCCTACACACCTACCGAGCGGTGGTAACACACCCCCACCCACCAGCAACAAAACGGAGACTTCGGTCCAACATGCTGGGAGGTGTGTGTGGGGGGGGGGGCTCTCAGGGGGATCTCATAAGATTGCGTTTCTTCTCTTCCCCGACATCCCCGGAACCTGCCCACGTCTCCGACTGCTGCTAGCAACGCAACAATGTGCTTTAGGTGGGACAACGGCGGCGGAACTAGGTTTTGCCGTAATCCTCGAGCCAAATGTTGGCGAGTTAAGCCACGTTGCAAAAACCAACGAAACTTTCATCCGTTTCCATATGACCTTTTTCGTACGTACGGCACCGGATACGGCAGGACTGGTGCAGGACTTCGGATCGTTTTAGATAACTTCATTCATTCCTGTTTCGGGTTTAAATTCTCTTTTTTGTCAGCAGCAGCAGCAGCAGCAGCAATGTGAAAAGGTCACTTTTTATATACTGTGACGTGACAGCTCCTGGACGGCGCTGTCACCCCAAGTTGCTGTCGTACGGCTACAAGCCGTACAGCTGCCGTTCTCTGCATGTCGCGTCATGTATATGTACATGTCAAAACTCAACCGACGCAGCGATGCGGTCAATGTCGCTGTGGATGACGTCAGATAGCTCGTCCAACCGACCCGCCGCGATCCGGATCACGTCCTGCAAAACCGCCTCGTTACCCAGAATCTCAATATGGGCCGCCGTCGCGGGCCCGCCACTGCATGCCGTACAAGAAACGAGCGTACGGAGTTAGTTGTCGTATACGAGGCGAACCGAGGTGGGATAAAGGGTCGGTGGGAGGTAAGGGTGATGACAGGGAGGGGATCAGGCGGGTGGAAAACACACAGCCTGCACGCAGGAGCTGCGGCGTGCAGCTGGCGCCATCACGGGAATTGAGAAACAACACGTATACATGTATACGACACATGTACGACGGATTCTTTTGGCTTATGGTGGGTTATGGTGGGTAGGGGACGCCGTGAATCAGCTCCCGCAGTTACTTTTGCCTCTTCACCGCCACTTGCCACTTGCCATGCACCGATGACGATCAACCCAAACATACAGACAAACAAACATACATACACACACGAGCCCCCGATCCCACATGTAGACCCGGCCGTACACTCACCGCGCATCTTGCAGCAATGACACGCTCCTGTGTTTGAACTCCCGGGTGATTACCCGCATTCCCCCGGGATTGAGTGACCCGCCGGGTCGCCAGCCGCGGCGGCACATAAGGCCCAAACTCAGCAGCGGCACCGTACCGTCCCCATCGCTCATCTGTACTCCCACGTCCTGAAACGTCATTGAGGGCGGCGGTGGCGGGAAACCGGCGGAGGGGGCCAAAATTGGGGAATGGCGGGTGGGTGGATAAAGTCCGTACGACCCGGGTTGTACGACAGGTTGTCACTGACGCGCCGGCTTTAGTGAGCGCTATTGGCTTGGAAGGCTTAGATAGCATGCCCGAACTACTGCACCAAGTTTTGGTGGTTGGTGGTTGGTGGTTGGTGGTTGGCGGTTTATTCCAGCGGCCGTTGGGATGTGAAATCCACTATAAGACCCCACTACTCACCCCAATTGCCCCCTATCTCCCTCGAAGCCACCCACCCACCAGCGAACCGCCCGGATCCGACACGTCCTTCAGAATCGTCCACCCCGCCGCGGGGCCCGACTCGGGATTCGCCTCCTCCCCGGATGCGGCGGGGTTGTGGGGGAGAGGAGGACGAGGGGGAGGAGACGACGATGATGTCGACCTGTCGCTGCCGCTGCCGGAACAGACCGCCGCTGCCGCCGTCCCAACCTCAGGTTCGCCCAACTGCGCCGCCGTCGTGCAATTGCCGCCTACGGCGGCAGCGGTGGCAGCTCCCGCCGCCGCCGCTGCGGCACCCGGTGACGGAGGCGGCGGCGACGACGACGACGACGACGACGGCGACGGCGACGGCGGCGGGGGTCTTAGGTAATGGTAACCCCGTTCGGTGGGTAGTCCCACGCCGTACAGACAGACTATGGCGGTCGTCGGCGCATTGGGTAGCGGCGTACGGGTAGCGTCAGGGAAGAGCGCAACGCGGCGCCGTACGGACTGGCGCAACCGCCGCGGGCCGCCGAGGGACTGCTCGGCCTGCGGGCTGTTGCTGTCGGCGGCGGCTGTAGCGCGACGGCGCACCGCCTCGCCTGCGAGTGCAGGAGGGGACAGAAACAGATCCGGAGGCTCCTCGTGGAATAGCATGCAGAATCCAAGTTCAAAACCATTAAAACAATTTAGATGGTCATAAAGTAAAAGTCCAACTGCTCTGGGTGTACGGAGAATGCCGTACGAGGCCGTTCATATGCACGGTCAGGAAAGCTAATGCCGTACATTATCTTTGCGTTATCTAACAACATAAGCTACCGCCGCCTGCACCTCAGCTGGAGTGGTGCATGTGGTATGTAAGAATGGAACTTGCAAGATGTCGGATGGTTTGTCGCTCGGTCAAACTTGAAACTGCATCAACGGTTTTGTTCTTGACTATTCATACATGCCAAGTGTGTACCAATGGTAATCACCATTCAAACATTCAAACATTCAAACACCAAGAACATATGACGATCTACATGACCAGCGCGTCCCCACAGCACTTCACTCACCGACATTCGCGGCCTCCCCCTCCCCCTCTCCCTCCCCCTCCCCCGCCCCTTTCGTGGAGGAGGCGGCATCCGGGCCAGCCGACAGGTCCACAGCGCCCCACTCCCGCATGTGCTGGTGCACGAGGGGTCCGCCAACCTCCCGAAGAAGAGCCAGGAAACCGCTAACATCCAACCGAGTTATCTGTTGGCGGTTGGAAGTTGGCAGTTGTTGGCATTTTTTGATGGTTGGAAGTTCGAACAGATGGTTTGACAATCAGAGGTCGGTCCGGTGGTGGTGCGGTACGTACTGACCGGCGCTCAACGGATTATTGTCGTCCAATTTTTTAATCATGTTTCCTCGTGTTTTGATTTTATTGTTCCTGTCCCGAATACAGGATGACAAGCAGACTCGAGACATGCCGAATTGCATTCGAAATCGATGTTCCCCCTTTTTCCCCAAAAGTCAGTTCTACGCCGTAGGTAGATTCTAATAAATCCTGTGCGTCGGATGAGCCTAGCTTAAATTTTCTGTTTGTCTTAAGATCGACTTCTATTTTTGTGCTTGTACGATACGAATGCCGAGTATCGTACAAGCACAAAAATAGAAGTGGCAATTCCTTTACGATGCCATGTACGGGTGTACGTGCTGCTCTGGCTGCCGTACATCAACATATACATTGTCGTACGAACAACCCCAAGATATCACTTACGTGATCGCTATCCAAGTAATCCGCCGGATCGATATCACCGCCGCCGCTGCTGACCAGCCGCATCAGCGTATCTGTAATCCGCGTCATGGCACTGCTGCTGCCGCTGCTACCGTTGCCGTTGCTACCGTTGCCGCTACTACCGTTGCCGTTGCCACCGTTGCCGCTACTACCGTTGCTGGATCGGCTGCTGCCATTGCTACTGCCGTTCCGCCTGGTGCTGTCAGCCTCCGGTGCCACCAAGGCGGCTGCCGCTGCCGCTGCGCCTGCCATAAACTTCTCCGTCAAATTCTCCGCCGCCCCCGCCGCTGCTGCCGGCGGCGGCGGCGGCTCCGCCGTCTCGCCGACGTGGTGGACGAGCTGCCTGAGCTGCTCCCGGTGGTGACGTGGCGCGGAGGCCGCAGCCGCCAGCACCGTCTCCCAGTCATGCGGCCAAAGAGAGACCATCGCGCTGCGCTCCGAAACCAAAACAAATGCGAACTTTAAAAAAGTTCAAATGTCCAATCCCAAAACTATTAACGTACATGCATACATACATACATTCACACATGCCACGTCATTTGCTTACTTCTTAGTATCGTCTTTTCGCAACCCTTGTAGTACAAGTACCAGCAACCGACCAACAACCGCCCCAATTAACCGCCAACCGCCAACGCTCACCCATATGTTCGCTTCTCCGCGCGCATCTCCCTCGTGTCGTCGGGGGCCCAGCTGGCGTTACCCCAGACCCGTGGGCCCCCCACCGGCAACATGGCGTACGACGCCCCCCACGTGCGCCAAACCCGTGTACGGGTTCCCCGGGGAACCAAATTGGACGTCAGAAAACCCGCCAATGCCCCCAACTGGGCTGTGTCGCGAGTCTCCCCTGTACGAATGAGATCATGACGTAACGACAAGAAATTGTACGATGATGGAATATTTTGTGTCGGGGCGGCTGTCGGGTTAGTATACGATAGTGAGGTCGTGTTGTGGTGTGTACGGCAGCGCATTTAGGGTGTGGAAGGTGCAGTGCGTAACGTCACAACAAACACAGCACAACACATACACGCATCACCACCACTATCTCCTCCCGCGCCACCTTTCTCTCCGTTCCCGGCGTGGATCCCGATCCCCGTCCGCACATACGTACATACGTACATACGTACCCGACAGCAGCGCCGACACGGATTTGGGCACTCCCAGAGTGGTGCCCGCTATGTTGGCAATGGCCGCGACGTAGCGGGTCACCCAGCCGGACCGGGCCGCCTCAACCCAGCTCATGAAGCTGCGAACCTGAGGAGGGGTGTGGGGGTGGAGATTGTGCGCAGCTCGGTTGAATCGTACACGCTGGCCCCATCGCGCGATACGGTGTCGTACGTACGTACGTACCACGTTTTCGCCGTACGAATGTGCCGTGATGACCACTCGCTCCCCACTGACCTCCGCCAGTCCCTCAATCGTAAGACGTAGCCGGGTGAAGTAACCGTCGCGCTCCTGCCGTACAGACAGTTGGCAGTTAGTGGATGCTGTCGACCTTTCCGGCTTGTGGGCAGGTACGCACAGTCAGGTGTGGGAAAAGAAGGGAGCTCTCGGAACCCCCCGGGGGTCTCTCCGGTAGTCCCCCACCCCACCCCTAGCTCAACCTGCTTTGCCTAATAGGGAATCCCTATCAGTTGTCAACCATCAACCACCAACCAACGTGATCACAAACCTCCAGGAGTGGCATGGCAAGGCGCCAGTCGTACGGCATGCTGACAAGACTGTTACTGTCGTACCCGACGTCTGCAAGTGCCTCTACCAGCTTCCCCCATACCCTGAGTACGGTGTCACAATGTACGGCAGGTACGGTGGGGGCGAAAGGGACGATGCATACCGTACATGTATTTATCCAGGATGGTACGATACAGCAGTACGGCATTTACGGAAAGTGCGATAGGTCGTGTGTGGACTGGCAATTAGACATTGCAAAAATATTATTATTACTATTATTGAACAGCTCCGGTCTCAAGACGGGTAATAAACCCACGGGACGCGGAGTACGTGAACCGGACGTGCCTACAGGAGCTGCTGCTGCTGTCTTTCTATCAAGACACGCCGCAGTAGCAGCAGTAGCAGTAGTAGTAGCAGTAGTAGTAGCAGTAGTAGTAGCAGTAGTAGCAACAGTAGCAGTAGTAGCAGCTTCTACCGTAGAAGGTAAAGATAAAAAACTTGTAGTGTTCAGCCTCTTAACGGCTTATTAACGTGGATTAAACCAAAGCATCAATGAACCAATCGCCGGCTAACCAACCGTCAGTTGCCTTACCAACCGTTAACCAACCAACCGACTGCTAGATCACCAACCAACCGCCTCACCAGTATCCCTGTATGAAGTAGTCAACCGCCTCCAGCCCCACAGCGGCCCGAATCTTGATACCAGCAGGATCCTGCGTCATCAAAACGAGCACGCCGTACCATGCTGTACAATGCGGTACACGGAAAACATCTTCCGCGGGACGTTGCCCGTCGCCTCGCCATCACGCAAACACACATACACACATACACTCCCTCACGCGCGCGGCAACCCACCAGTCCAGTTTCTGGATCCAGTTCCATGTGTCGGAACCAGCAGCCGGGATCCGCAAGGAAAGCCTGGGGCAGTAGCAACAGCAGTAGCAGCAGTGGGGTAGCAGCAGAATGGTAGGAGGAGCGGCAGTAGCAGCACTACGGGCGGTTGCCGAGAAGATGAGTACCATAAAACAGTTACACAACCACATAACCGCCAAGCCAAGTAGCAGCACTCGTACCCCTCCACCTCCAACCCCACCTGCACCATCGCCAAGGTCCCCCACATGCGCTGTCGGAAGTACCGCCGGCCGCACGGTAACCCCTGCCAGAGCTCCAAACCCGATGTCACGAAACCTGGGAGGGGGTTCGGGGGATGGAATTGGTTTCGGAGTAAATGGCAGCCCGGTTCGTATGTATGTATGTACGGTGCCGTCTCGTTGGTGCCGCACCTTGGGGAGAATAACGCGAATCGAGGAGGTGTAAAACACACACATACACACACACGCACACGCGCACGCACACGTAAGGTTTCGATCGTACTAACCGCAACCGTCCGATAACGATAAAAATGAAGTACGTAAATGTATAATAAAAGCGTACACAGTGCGCAGGAGGACACCCGGTTCTTAGAGTCCCACGCCATCGAAGTACCCCCACCTGGGACGATAACCACGGGATGCTTCGCCCGATAGCCTCGCCTCGCCATCACCAACCCCGGCCGCAACCCCGCCGCTGTCGTTGCAGTACTGCCATTGCCCCCCGTGCCCGCCGGCAGACTGAACGCCGGCAGCTGCGACAGCAGCCCGCGAACCGTAACTGACAACCGACCCGTGCTGATCGTGTCGGTTAGGTCGTTAAGAGTATCGGTTAGGATGTCCGTTATGCCGAGCAGCACGGAGACATTCAAGCCGGTGGAAGCGATGATGGCGTCCAGGGAGGGCCGAGGCAGCGGCGGCAAGGAGACGTTGAGGCGGGCCGCCAGAGGGGCCAGAGGGCCCAGGAGACCCCCCTCCTGGAGCAGCTCCAGAACCATCCAAGGTGGAGTTTCCTGTACGTGCATGCGTGTGTGTATATCGTACGTACGGCGTACGGCAGGGTGTAAATTGGAGCCAGTACAGGGAACGCCAGGACGTTGCGGGGGCCATTGTTTATAATGTTGGAGCGAGTTCATCTTCATCTGAGATCTCTTTATCATACTTATCATACAGGAAACGTAGTTGTGTAGGAAACACAATTTCTAAAGGAATCGCCATTTCGATGAAGGCTTTTTGAGGCACCACAGTGGAGGGGGAAGGGTTAGGCAGGCGGTTAGGCGGACGGAGGTGCCGAGGGACGGGAAGCCGTACACGATCGCAGTGCAGGAAGCCGAGGTTCACAGCCAACGCACAAACCCAACAAAACCCACACCCCACCGTACCTCCCCTCCATGTCTCGAATTGACAAACCCCAACTGGAATAATGAACACGCGCCAACCTGCCGCATCGTACCTATCATGTGCCTTGCAATGTGCCGTACCCATTGCACCTAACCCCTACACTTGTGTGGCCGTAAACTGCCGTACCTCAGTTAGTCGGCGGTGTACGGCTGCCAACGCAAGTAGCACGACACCCAGAGCCAGCGGCCACTGCATGAATCGCCACAGCCGGCGGCGCCGCCGGCCCACCTTCCCTCTGCTGGCCAAGCTGCTGCCGTCGCCATCGCCTCCGCCGCCACTGCCACCATTGCTGCTGCCGCTACAGCCGCCCTTCTTAACGTCCTCCTGATTTTGCTGCACCAGCGGCTTCTCCGGATGGCGCTTATTGGCGGCGGCTGTGCCTGGCGGGACGGTGGGGTTGGTTGTCGTCTTGGTACTGCCGCCGCCGTCGCCGCCGTGGACTGCAGTGCTGGGTCCTGCTACACGGTCGCCCCTTGTCGGATCGCCGACATCCCCGTCAACCCCGGCTTTGACTCCTTTCCCCCCTCCACCTCCCTCAGCGCCCATGACCTCTCCACCGCGGCGGCGCCGTCGATGAGTCCCGGAAGCTGTGCCACCACTTTCGTGGGTGGCACCACCGGTAGTGCGGTGCGGCGCACCAGCGGCAACGACAGCGAGCTGCTGAGAGGCAGCAGCAGCAGTAGATGTGGCTGTGGATGTGGATTTTCCAGGGTCTAAAGCGGTAGGAGCTGCATGTGGGACGCAGTTGTTTGGGGTGCTGTTGGAAGGGAGGGATGCCGGGGGATGGTCGGTGAGCACGGCTGCAGGTCCGTTGGCACTCGGAAGGCCCGGCTTCGCGGAAGACGTTTCAGATGCCGTGAATTCTTTCTTACGGCGTGTTTTGCTCATCTTAGCGGTGGGTCCTTTAGCTGTGCCAAGGGTCGTTGTCGCTAGCTTCCCGAGGCTTCGACAAAGCTTTTGTCTTCAATACTTGTGTGCCAGGATTCAGAAACGTTTGTACAAATTGGTTTCTGGTCAAGGGCTTCAAACATGCCCTCGGTCATCCGAGGTGGTGAGGTAAATATTACATGAGTAAGGCCCTCATTTAGCGTTACCTCACGGAGCATGTCAGCTAAGATCCCACGATCCAACCTAGATACCTGATTGTTAGCTACTTAATGTTCCGGGAAAGCGCAATACATTGCCTGATGGCGTATGTGCTCTTGAACAGCTGAGAAGCAAAGTCCATGCAAGCTCGGACATAGCTCGGACAATACTGCGTGAATTGCGCAAAAAATGAATGAAGTTTTGTTTTACGCCTTCCAATGAAGCCTTCTGAAGCCCAAGCACAGCCTTCCGACGGCCCCCACGCACTGCAATCGCGAAAGATATCCAATGTGTCGCAATTGCTGTCGCAATAAGCTTTTGAAATAAGCATTTGATTATGTTAAACATAAGGACATTTGGGACCCAAGCAGCCCCGCAATGGTAGTTAACCCGGCCGTGTCAGCTCAGTAGCACCATCACATCAGTTCTGTAGGGTTTTCAGGGGTGTTCTAATTTCAAGCTGTGCTAAAGTGCTGTGATTGCTTGGCGATGGCATAACACATGGCAACCTGGGGATATGTGAGTTGATTTAAAATCTTTGAAACAAGTAACATCCATGATTACCTGTCAACCAACTACTTTATGTGGCGCTGGATGCGTGTACCCGGCGAGTAGTAAATCTATCTCGAAACGGACCAATAAATGCACGATTAAGGGACCGCCACGGCAACCCTTTGCCTACCTTTGTGCCGGAACTTGACAGTTGGCTACCTTAGCCGTTAATGTTCAGATGTAACGCTTCGCGCGGACAGTTTAGCTATGAATCATACTCGTATTACAGGCCGAAGGGTGATGACGACTGCTGCCTGCTAGGCAACCACCCATACGGCCATACCCTGCGTTCGACAGAGCCTCCTAGGTCACCTCGTTGTGGCCATCCAGCATCGGCGCATCATACCCATTTATTGTCTACTTCTCAAACAGTGGTTTCCATCGAATAAGGACACATCGTATAAATCTCATGTACCAATCACTGTACTGTTAATGTACAGAATGCATAGGAGCTACAGTACACCAGATCACATTCCAGTCCTCGCCCTGCAGCTCTGCTGTACTAAAGCCACATGTTCCAATATACCTGTAAACGGGTGGCGGGTCACGAACTTCATCAGGTGTACTCATAGCTACCGTCGCCACACACCGACCTGTGTGACAAAAGCACAAACACAAACGTTCTCCGTACGAACAGTTGTGCGACCACTTTACCTTGGCCAACTGAAGCCCCGCGCCCACGCGACTATAATCACATACAAGGTACACCTTAACGCTCTCATTGTCTGCGTTATAGCCTGCCTGCATTCCCTAGAGCTGACCTGACCCCCCAAACACAAAGACCGGCAGCCTGCCTACATCATTACTCGTCCCAGCCTATGTCCTAAGCCATCCAGCCATATGCTCCAGCCAACGTCAATGGACAGAGACGCTGGGCCAGCGCAATCCTCAGCCCACACTAGTCGGCCGAGTATCCAGGCATGGGACAGCAGCGGGACATGCATGCCAAAAATTCAATTTTGCGACAGTCTTGTGAAACCTACGAACGGAAGCAGCCGAAGAAACTGCCGAAGCCACTGCTGCGCCGCTTCTGCTTGCCTCCCTCGGGCGGCTTGTCCGCACAAGGAGAGGTCGGCGATTGCGCTTCGGTGGCCTGCTCCTGCGTCGCGTCCCCCCCAGCAGGCGGCACCTCGACCGGTGACATCGGGGCCTGCAGCGGATTTACCTCGATCTCCTTGTTGCGTTCAATAGTCTCCTTGCTTGCCTCGGAAGCCTCCGCATCTCGATTTTCCGAGTGCTGCATGGCGACCTGCGCGTTCAGCAGGGCCGGAGCTGCCTCCTGAGGCCCCTCCTCACCAGGCCCTCCGCTTATGGGCGCGACGATATCAACATTCGGCTGCAACGCCATTGTCACCTTGCTGGTGCTGCCCGGGTCTTCACGGGGAACCTCTGCCAGCACCGTCGTGCTGCCGACGGTTCCGGCTTGCAGCTCCTCGTGCTCCTGAACGGCGCCTGGCGAATGGTGGGCATCCACCTGGGCTGTGGTCGCAGTGATCACAGCAGGCGCCGCCTCGCAATCCGCGCGAACTGGCTCATCCTCCGCCTTCTCCATCGGGAGGGCTGCGTTATTCTGCGAATCACGTAGTGTCGACTCATCATGCTTCACTGCTGTTGCTGGCACGTCGACCGCCACAAGCCCGCATTCCGCAGGAATGGCCTCGGGGGCTACCGAAGAGGCAGACACAATGTTGCTGCCCTCCTCCGCTAAAGGAGCAGCAAGCGGTGTAGCTAACAATGGGGACTCAACGCTTTCCCCCAGAATGGTCGGTGAAGTCGGCATCACTTGGCCCTGCTCCGCAAAATCGCCGTCTGTTCGCCGCGCCGGCGCCCCCTTACTCTCAGTCACAATCGTGATCACGGCCGCTGGTCCCTGTGAGGGAGTCTCTACCACCCCGTTAAACCCCTGCATGGTTGCTTGGTTCCTCGTAACTTCTGCCTCCTCCGGTGGAATGGGGACGGGGTCCTGGGTCACTGTTGCAGGTGGAGCGGTCTCCGACTCGTCCGCCATTGGCTCAGCCGAAGTTACCGTATCTTCGGCCGTGGGTGGTTCTGCAGGCGCCAGGCCATCTTGACTAGCGTTTGAGCTTGTCCGCTCGGCGACGACGGGGACTTTGGCGCTTGGTAAAATCTACGGCAGAAAAAGTACGGGTGATCACCAAGCAAATATCATACATCACATATGAATGTAAAACCAAGATCCAGAAAGAGCAAATGACGGGAACGAACGTAAGCGAAGCCTGGAGTGCAAAAAATCGTATCCGATTAACGCAACGCAATCGAATCGGCTGTCCACTCGAAATACTTCATTAGCTCTCATGCCCAGCCAAGATTTCCAGAGCCCTGGGCCGTACGCATGGTGGCGGTCATAGGTGGCGCCCGCATTTGGCTGACTCACTCTCTGTGACCGCTATCCTAGCCCCCAAGTGCAACCTGTGCCTAGGGTCTCCCCTTAAGAATACAGGGGCATTGTGTTTGGCGCTGGCCTTGGTACGGGACAAGCTTTCAGTACTGGTGGCATGTACAGTAATGGGCGCGGGCAGCACCAGAAATTCGTTCGGAAATTCATACAACCCGAACGGTAAAGATTAGAAGTTAACGGAGTAAAATGAGTGAGGGCAATGGCATCCAAACAAATGGATGGTGCAACCCATTACCAGCGAGACAAACACCGTACCTCATCGCCTCCCCTCCGTTTGCGCCCCGCAGCCTCGGTGGGCGTTGCCATGTCGTCGCTTGTGAACGGAGCTGCCGTAACCGACTTGGGATTCAGCGACCTGGTCTTGCCCGGTCCGTGCTTGGCTGCAGGTGCGCAAAAATGGCAAAAAACGTTGAACATAACTGCACCCAAATACCAGTACACCAGAGCCCGCTGCCAATGCTCGACATAAGGAAAAAAGCGGTCCAACTGTCCAGAAACATGATCTCTTCAAGTGCGCAACGACTGCGCCCTTTACAGACAATATCCCTTTACAGACAATATGAGGCCCTCTCCATCTCGGGCGTGAACTTACCGACTTTGGCTTGCTCCTGTCCGAATACAAATAGGACAGGCGTTGGGGGTCCTACAAAGAGGAAGCGCGACGGGGCAAACAAACAAGGGCAAAGGCGTGGCTACAGGAGCGTGTTGTCCATCTGGGCATTGTGGGGAGGACGGATCTACCAGCGTCGACTGATTGGCACTGTAAAGCCTCCCCTTATCCCTGATCCGCAGATAACTAATGCATTCAGACTCAGAACCACGCTTAAAACCAAGACCTTTTGGAGACGATTGAGATACACAACAGCCTTAATTAGATATTTCCTACCAGATGAGTTTTCAGCTACCGGCGCCGCCACATCTGCCGGCTCAATCTTATCAGCCGGATGGCCTAGCTCCGCCCCCTCGCACTCCTCAGCTGTCTCCGAAGAGGCAGAACCAGATGAGGGCTCGCCAACAAGTACCTTCGCAGCCACTGGCTCTGCCGATACATCGCCGCCGCCAGTCAGCGGAGCAGTTGCCATGGCTGCAGCTACCTCATCCTCCGCCGGCAGCTGTCCCTGCTTTGGCTTAGCAGCTGACTCAGTCACCGCAACAGTTGACGTTTGGGCCGATGTGGACGTCGACAAGCTCATCAGTGAAGTGTCGCGGAAACTCGGTGCCATTTTCTTCACCAGCCGCGCCACCGTGCCGTAGGCACGCTTGCTGGCAGTGCGTGGCGAGGCGGATGCGTCCGCACTGGCCTCTGTACCAGCCAGCACGCTTTTCACCGGTGTGACGACTCCCGTTTCTCCCGCAGAAGCCTCGCCGGTGTCGCCATTGCCCTCCAGACCCTCGAGTTCATTATCATAGGCATCCTCGTTGGCATCGGACTCTGCATCGGTGGCATCCCCAACCGCGACGGGTGGCGATTCGCACTGCTCCAGTGCGGGCATTGGCATCTCACCACAGTCAAGAACTTCCACGCTGCGAACCATGGCAAGCTGGTCCTTCTCAGCAACCGCAACGAGACCAGCCGCCTCAGCCTCGGTCGCAACGACAACTCCAGTGTCTGGCTCCTGTCCTTTCAGCTTAGTGCCATCGCTGCCATCACCAACTGAAGGCAGTGGCGCCTGCTGGCTGCCGTCAGGCGCGCGTTCCGTCTCTCCGATGTCGGCGCCTTGCACGTTTCCGTCGGCATCCACAGCGGGTTCAGGTGCCGAAGGAGTTGGATCACACGAAAGAGGTCGAGGCTCAGCTGGCGGAAAAGCTGCATTGCGCGGGCTCAGGATTGCCTTGGGTGTGGAAGCAACGTCAGTGCCATTCGCTGTGCTAAGCAGGACATTGCGGAAAATATCCTCTGACAGGCGGCGCACGGCAATTGCTGCTTCATCCAGCATCGCCGGCTCAAGGGCCGCGTCGCCGGGATTAGTGGGTGGTGCTGCCGCCACGGCAGCAACTGCTGCGGGTGGTGCTGCCTGCACGTAGCCCGCAACGACGGGGATGGCTTCCGCGGCGGCAGCTAGGTCGACCGCCGCCATGGCAGCGGAAGCCATAAGCAGCTCCGATCCCAGTTCACGCACTGTGACGGGAGGCAACGGCCCTTGGCAGCTGCTGCCGATATCTTTCCTGCCATCACCTACACGGCGTGGACGCATGCCTGTAAAAATGCGTAGGAAGGATCCCGAGAAAATACCTCCGGTGGACTTCCGAAATTTGTCATCAGCTTGGCGCTTCTCCTTCATCAGGTCCTTTGGTGTATCTGCCTTGCATGGCGTCGTGCCGCGCGGCCTAGTAACGAGCTTTACAGAACAATCTGCCTCGAACTTTACCATGGACCCAGCTTCTGTCGTGATAGGGTCCTCGGGTTCAAAGGCTGAGGACTGCAGGCAGTCGGGTTCGGCCTTATCCAGAAAGCTGCTATCAACTGGCAACGGAGCCTCAGGCCCTAGCGGGACGACAGGGTAGTTAGTTGCGCTGACAGGCAGGGGCACGTCGCCGAAGCAGAAGATAGATGGCAGAACCTGAAGACGGACAGAGGACCTGTCTGGCTGTAAGGAAATGCGAATACGTACAGGGCCGGCCGCTGACATCGTGTGCCTCAAGGCCTTAGCAGACATAGCTGCTGGACTCGCTGCCACGGCACTGCCGCGGAAGAGCTGTCCGCGACGGCTGAAGGCCCTGACCACGAGTCTGGCCTTGTTCGATGGCGTAGCGATCGTAGGTGTGGGCGAAAATGCCTGGGGTACATCGCAGACAGTCATATGTGCAACACATCAAAGGAATGATTTGCTACATCGCGTGTCGGTCGTTAAGAGCGTGCTGCGTATTGAAGTTTTGCTGGGCTGCAAGGGCGACCGTGGAGAGCACAGCTTTCGACATCTTAACTGCAACTGAAACGCATATCCCATGCAGCTGGCGGAACGCAGATTGAGTGCATTTAACATGATTTGCCTAGGGGCAGTGAACTGCGTTGCCATGACACCTCTCTGCTAGAGCAGGGTGACCCCTTCCATTTCCCAGTGCAACCGAAGCCAAGTAGGACTGCTGGTCAGGCCTTCCCATCACAATCCTTCAGAAGACAACAGTAACAGAGAGCTTGAGAAAGGTAAAATCAACGCTTACCGAAGGCAATGGCGCCACGCAAACGCTGCGGGTGCGCTTGAAGACAGGTGCGTCCTCCTCATCGAGCTCAGGAGGTTCGTGATGTATCCGAGGATCATCTACCGGGTCGATGACCATCTCCGCAAGCGCCTGATCAGCGTCCGCGAGCCGCGAAGGAGAACCAATTGCCATACCAGTAGCCGCCGTTGAAGCTCCTCCGCGGGCCGTGCAAAACGAGAAGACGCTATTCCTCTCCAAAGCGTCTTGGTATGCTTCGTCGTCGCTTGTGTGGCAGGAGTACCAATCGTCTGAACGCAGACAGTTGAGCAGGGCGGGTCAACGACTGGCTCGAAGGACAGGGCCTCTACGGCTGCACACAGGTTGCAAGCGAACATAATTAGTACTTACCGAGATCAAGGTTGAAGGACGTGAGCCTAGTGAGCTCTGCCGGCATGTTCAACGTTTAAATTTTTGCTGTGACAGTCCGGTATCTGATTCAAGGGTTCGTTCAAGAAAGCATGTCATAACCAAAGGAATCAAATGGTAAAGTTGAGGATACGATAGCAACAGCTCCTAGATGGGCAGAAGTGGTAAACCGGAAGTTGGCGCTTGCAGATACGGTATGGAGACTGTCAAACCAAACACTTGCGAAGCTATGTGCAAGCCTACGTGTTGTTAAACGAAAGGTAAGCTTTACGCAGTGGGTATCTCGCAGTGTTGCGGAGACGAGCATGTGCTCATCCTAGAGGCAAAGAGCGGAGCTGTACGACCGAGCAAAAGTTTACCAGTTTGTTTCAGTCGCTCAATTGTTTTGTGTTTACAAGGAGCTGCAGAAGTTAATTTTCCTCGTAGCAGCTGCTTCCCAATCGTTCTTGGCCTAAGTCGCTTTCAAATTGCAATTTATTGGCACCCGAAACCCTGCGTCATAGTTCCTGTCGCGATATTGTATTTCTCTGTACATTTCATCCGACGCGATGCACTTTTGCTGCCAAACCGCGGTTTCCCGTGCAGTTCCTCTTGCATTCCTACTTAACGCACCGCCTTTCCTGGTCGCGCACACGCGCCTATGGAACACGATAACTAGAGGCGATGAGTCCCGGTAAACCCGGCTGTCCAGATATACATGTTTTGCATAGCTTAATCGCTGCCTTGCCTCCGGCTGGCTGTTCAGCCAAGCACGCTTGTCGGCGATGGCCATTCTCGTCGTGTAATTGCTCCCTCCGCTTTAATGTTGCTCCAAGGATCACAGCTCCTCAGAAATTTGGCAACTCAATGGCACCCAACAAAACCCTGGCCTCGCTACATTCCAAGCACCCACCAAGCAACGCTCCGAACCCACCGCAGCCTGCCCATTCCGCATTGCCCTGCTACCCTTTGGCCTTAGCAATCAATTCCTCGCTCTAAACAGAGCCTTAGCGCTAGCAGCCGTGCTTAACTGGACGGACTGAGATGCAAGGAAGCGAGGAGGAGGCGGTGGGGGTAATGAGAAAAGAACCGCCGACTCGGGCGGTGGGGGATTCAGAGAGCCCTGCTGGGGAGAATGGAAATGGCAATTAACGCGACGTGCGTCATGTAACGTATCACGTTGCTGTTGTGAAAGCACCTCTTTGCTGCTGTAGGTTTTGTACGGTGTAAGTATTGGAGGGGGCGGCGGAGACACAAGATATGCCGATAGTATCGGGGATTTGGTCTTTTTAATGGGGATTTGGGTAGGGATCCACATCTTAGTTCGCTAGTACGACCCAAATACTTAGCGCCGTACTAACCTGTGACAGCCGCCGGTAGTGGCCCTATATTCCGGGATACGAGTGTGTATAGAAATGTGTGACTGCAAATGGTGCAAACAGTTGGGCCCTTGGGGCTCAGGTGTAGCTCTGGCCTAGGGGGGTTGGATGGGCCCGCGCTAGGCCGCACCACCACCCTCTTGGCACACAGCCAAAACGCTTTTCCTTTCCGTTTCCCCTTCCCCCCCATGGCCATCGTCTCCTCTTTGTCTGCACTCTTCTTCCTCTACTTGTTATCGAAGCCCCTAGCTGTCCTGTGTAGTTCCAGCCAACCAAATGATGACTGCTTCATACTTGTTGCGTGTGGTTCAGCAGTGTCTTGTCGCCGCCCTAAGTTTTCCAGGCAGTACGGATGAATGATTGGAGGAATAAAGAAAGAAGTATTGACTGAGTAGTTGGAAGCCTGGACTGATGCATCGATTTGGCATATGCCTGCGTGTCTTGCTCTCTACATCTGTCAGGGTCTTCGGTTTGTTCAAACTTGCATGGTGGACCATGGTCGGGTTTGTGCCCACTTCGTTGGACTGAAATTTGATTTGCATCGAGCAACAGGGATTATGGTACTCTACCCTGTAACCGATGGTACTCTACCCTGTCGAGTAATATGTTCCATGGACACATGACCATGGATGGAGAATATCGCCCCCGATTACACTCGGAAAACTCGTTCCTCTTGCAGCACAGATGTTGAAACTCAGCTGCCAACCCCGCCTCGCAGCTCGTGGTGTCCTTTCGGAACCAGCTATGCTAAAGCGTGAGTCGTATGGTCCCCCATAACTAGGAGGATTACTTAGGTTGCGCGCTGAGATGTTGCAGCATGGGTACCGTGCTCGGCCCGCATCGAAAGGCGGGGAGGACACCCATAAATACATCATGATGAGATTATGTAGAGCTACGACAATAAAGCGCACATGACGAGATGATGTGGGACTATGGCGTGCGTGTTAATAATTCGACCGTACACAGAAATATACAACTGTAATGTGCTTCAAGGATTCGTGCATCCAGTTCTAGCAGTATAATGGGAAAGTTAATACATGACGTGCATATTACATAAGTTGCGTTACATGCTGTGCTATGTAAGCTGGGGCCAGCTTAACTGTCCAGCAGATGCAAGGCCGACGGTGCACTAGCTGTTATTGGAACCCTACAATGGACATGTTAGTGATGTAAAGCTGTAGTATTGGCTTCATGCGATGCGCTGTGCGCGCGCAAGCATAGTGTCTTGCATTGTTCTCCTGCAAGCTCTGTCCTACGCAAGCCCGTGGACGGCATCATCAACGAGCATACATGGCGTCGTTCAGGATACAACTACCATAAAGGTAACAAATTTTGTGTCTGGACACGCAACTCGGAAGCTTGCTGGGCCATGCCGCCGCCCCGTCACGCTGGCCCCTCTACGGTCAAACCACTGATCCCTTTCCATCACGGCCCCACCCGCCATATCAGATATGGATCCACCTAGAAGCTCCATCGCCTTTCCATTTTTGGCTTTCCTTGCCCTTCAGGACCCTGGCAATGCTCAGGGCACGCGCATGCATGGTGGAGTGGACACTTCCTCCCTCCACGACCCTACGCGCTCTTTACGCAGTAAAAGCATAAACAAGTCTAGACATGGCGGCAACACGCGGCCGAAGCCTCCACAAACGGGGCCTTTCTTAATCCCCCTGCTTCCGTACGGCCTCAGCAACCAAATCGTCGCGCTTAAAGAAGCCCTAGCGCTAGCAGTCGTGCTAAACTATACGGTCGTGACCCTGGGCTTCTGGCCCCATAGATCAGAGGTAGCAGCGGCCGCGGGCCAGCACCTGGAGCCGGGGGCCCTAACACACAGAGCGGTTTTGGAGCTGGATGCGGAGGAGGGAGAGGAGAGGAATGTGGAGAAGAGTGCTGAGAAGCAGCTGCAGCGAATCAATGCGTCCGAGGTCATTCCCTTTGACATGGTGTTTGACCGGTGGGTGCGTGGGTTTGGGGATGCGGTTGGGCCTCGCGCTTAATAGCTGGCAGGAAGGACCCTTAACAACCTCCAGCCGCTCTTCTTTCCGCAGGAGCAGTCTGGCATCGCTGGTACGCGTTATCACCTGGGAGGAGGCTATACGGCAGTACGGCTGGTCTCAGAGTAAAGGTGCCGATGCGCTGATATTGCTCAGTCGAGCATCGGGATTGGATCTGGTGCTTGAGAAGGTCGCCGCGGCGGGGTTCATGTACACCGAACACATCCACACAGCACGGCAGTACGATTTTAGGTACGGCATGAGGCCTTGACTTGACGCAAGTCATTGGAGTGCTCTTGACCCCGGCCCTGACACTCACCAACGTTATTCTACACCCGCACACATCCCCCTCTCCCCACGCAATACCGTTATCCCGCCCTCCTAACCCCTTCTCACACACTCCCCCAGCTGTGACTCCCGGGGGTTGTCCTGGCTGGTCCGTACGGTGGGCCGTAAGCGCTGGGTGGCGCTGTTCAGCTATCGACGTATCGTACCTGCGGCCCGGAACTCGTACCGCAGCTTTGCGCATAGCAGCGACCCATGCGCCCGGGCGTATCATCAGGTAGCGGGAAAGGCAGGCGGGGAGGAGGGTGGGAGGAGGAACACGTGTATGAGTTTGGGGGGCCGAAGGTCATGCGAGAGCGGGTGTCCTTGGGGAGGTCTGTATAACGGAATACCAGGAATGCGACAACGTTGGCAATTGCCCGTCCTTACGTTTTTCCTCCCTCTCCTCCCTTTCCTCCCTCTCCTCCCTTTCCTCCCTCTGCTGCATGAGCCCCACCGCATCTCGTGACTAGTACCCGAACTCGACGACCCCCTCCACACCGCATCTCGTGACTAGTACCCGAACTCGACGACCCCCTCCACACCGCATCTCGTGACTAGTACCCGAACTCGACGACCCCCTCCACACCGCATCTCGTGACTAGTACCCGAACTCGACGACCCCCTCCACACCGCATCTCGTGACTAGTACCCGAACTCGACGACCCCCTCCACACCGCATCTCGTGACTAGTACCCGAACTCGACGACCCCCTCCACACCGCATCTCGTGACTAGTACCCGAACTCGACGACCCCCTCCACACCGCATCTCGTGACTAGTACCCGAACTCGACGACCCCCTCCACACCGCATCTCGTGACTAGTACCCGAACTCGACGACCCCCCACACACACCGCATCTCGTGACTAGTACCCGAACTCGACGACCCCCCCCCACACCGCATCTCGTGACAGTACACGACGCAGGTGTCTCTGCGGTTGAAGAAGTCTGCATGGATCACTCAAATCGCAAGGAACTTTGTCCAGGAAGCACTAGCGGGGTGGGCATTGAGACAGCAGCAGCAGGGGGAGGGGGAGGGGGAGGGGGAGGAGCGCAAGGTGGAGACTGCGGTGGCCATGAGTGCGGGTTTTGGCCCCAGCGCGGGCGCCACCATCCCGCACTACATCGCGGTGCACGTTCGGCCGTACCCCGATGAGTGCCTGGATTATTTTGTCAACATGACGCAGTACGATCCCGGAGCAGCAAGCCAGGTGATTAAAGAGGTGTATCTCAGTTTCCGCGTCCGTGAGGAAACGACGGGATGACGGGTGCATGTGAACCTGCTGTTGCTAAATAGCGGACAAAGCAAGATGAGGTGTTGTCCTCGTCTTTGCTTGGAGCAGATAGGGGTCGGTCTCGTCGGTTTGTTATGAAATTAGGTGGAATGATGGAACGATTTTAACGAAAACGTGTTTTGTGTCCGCACCTGAAGAGAAATTTTGCTTTCTTCCGTTGTTTCCGGGGGGTCTTCAGTCCGGAGCTTTAGTTATCTGAACGTCATATTGTTAGTGTCGTGTGCTCGCTGCATTTGACATGCGACATCCAAAAGTGCAGCAACCCGTATTGAGTTATGCTCCTCATCCTTCATGCTCAAAACCCAACGCGATAGCCCAGTGGCTGCATGGACCGTAGAGCGACGGGAGGGAGGGCGTTGGTGTCGGTTAGAAGTTAGCTATTTCCGAAAGATTTTTGTTTCTTGTCGAAAAACCGAATCGGAACAATTCCAGAAGGATTACACGCACGCACGCCGCAGGTGTGCAGTAATCCCAAGCTGCTGATCAAGATAGTTTCACTTGTACGGAAGCTGGTCGAGACACGTGACGCTGCCGCCGCCGTTGCCGGGGGGACGAGCGGCTCCCCAGAACAAGAACCTAGCGGGGGCGGCACTATGGAGTGGTCTCCTCCCCCTGCAACGATTGCGCCTGTGCCTGTGCCAGCGGCGGTGTTCGTCATGACTCATCCCAGGTTACGTAGAGTTGTTGAGGCAGAGATGTCAAGGTTGTGGGAGAGCGTGAAATTCAGCTCCGAGGCTATCTTGAACTCTACCGATGACCCCGCCCACGCCGCCGCCGTCGCGGCCTTCTCCTCCAATTCCACTTCCTCCTCTCCTCCGTCTTCCCCGCTCCCGTACCTCTTCTTCCTGGGTCTGTCCGACCTCCCTCCCGAGCTCCGGAACCACGTGGCCTCCACCAGCCTGCTGTCCATGGTAGAGCAGCAGGTCTGCAGACAGGCGGAGGACTTCATCGGAAGCAAGGCATCGTCGATCAGTGTGCTGGTGGCGCAGGAGAGGGTTGAGGGGGAACGGTTGGAGGCGGGAGGGGCGAGTCCCGGTGGTGCAGCTGCCGTGGACGGGGCTGGGGCGCAAGGAGGCGAGGAGGGGGCGCCAGGGGCAGCCAGCCAGGATGGTGATGAAAGGGAGGTACAAGACGCCGCGGTAGCAATGTCTGACAGCGCCGGCAGCGGCAGCGGCGGATACGGCAATGATGGGCGCCTTTCTCGCATAACGGTGCTCGTATGACGATCAAGCGGTGTGTTCGTTTGCTTGTTGTTGAATGTGGCGCAGGCTTTTTATACTAGTATTGCAACTGACGTGCACAGTAACGAACAGAGGACTATCAAGTAATGGACGTCGTATGAATGACCTTGGTTTCTGTGTCAACCTTTTTTAGGGTTTTTAGAACCCTAAGAAACGAAACCCTAGGGTTTTAAAATAAACAGAAACCCTAAAACCCTAAGAAAACCCTAACGACTGGGGCTGTATTCCAATGGGTCTTGCATTGAACATCTTTGAACCATCACCAGGGCAGATGAGGGTCTTGCGGCCCCAGACGTTTGCTGGGATTTGGTCAAGACTCCACTTGTACTGGTACAGGGCACATATTATGCACTCAGAACCACAGCTGAAGTACCTGGGCCTCTCTGCAACACGTGGACGGGCCTTCACTGGGACCCACTGCTGATCCTGATTGTATGCTTTTTGGACTTGGAAGAGATATTTGCTACTGCTCAAAGATGAAGGAGTCAGACTTGGGGTCATAGTGCAGGTTGCTGTCACACTTCACAAACAGCTGTTGTGGACCAACAGGGAGTGGGTGGAGCTGAGGAAGGTATCAAGATGCTCTCAAACATCACGTCCACACCCATTCCAGCATCTAGATCATCTAGTCTGACCCCCTTTGCCCTGAGGGACCTGTTCTATGCGGTGGATAACTCCAGCCAGGCCGCCTGCAACCACCTCAGCCTCAAGGTGGAGTGTGGGGCGGGGAAGGGGTAAAGACGCTACCCAAGGAACCGGCGCGCACCAGGGTATGGCTTGGCGAGCCTGCGGTATGCGTAGCACCGCGTGAGCAATAACATGGACAGAAACGCACGGAATGTGGCTCAGTGACGGGAGAGCCCCACAAAAGACGCGCCGCTGAATCCTTAAACAACCTCGGTCTCCCCTATAGGTTGCAGCTCTGGGATGTGGCTCGGCACCGACCCGCAGCTGATGCCCGTGCCTTGCACCATCACTGTGGTGGCTGTCAAGGACTGTGAACATGACATTCTTGGGTGCGTGTCGGGATGGAGCCAGTCTGGAACATTTGCGGCTGCCATAGCTGTGCTGTGTGTTGGCGCCTCTCATCTTGTTGTGTGTGGCCGGCGAGCTGGGGGGGGCCAGGCAGAAGCTGCAGCAGTGAGCAGCAGGACAGCTGCGCATACGCTGATTCACCAGGCCTGCCTGTGCATGCATGGCGCTGTCTAAACTTTCAAGGGGCCAACCAGCTGTAGCAGGCTGTGGCTGCTGAAACTGGTGTTTGGGCTTTGGTATCCAGGTGGCCCATTCAGGCGTATGGGAGAAAGCGCTACATGGAGCGTGCACGAACTTCTGTGTTGGGGGACACTAAGAGTGCTTGGGATGCTAAAATGCTGGGGCTAAGATCTTTACTGAGGAGTGTTGCTTCCAGCCTTGCAAGCCGGCTACACATTTGCGGCGGTCACAACTGTGTTCGCTTCATAGTGCTGCGACGAACACCAGAGACCGCGAGCATCGGTCAGGAGCGTCGCCTCCGAGTGTCTGGTGGCAAAGCACAGGCTCCCGGCCGAACTTGCTGAGGACGGGCTGGATATGCCGCTGTGCTGTGTATATCTAATGTGAACAATCGCCACTGTCACGGTTACGTATAGTGCACGATTGATCACCATGATCCACATTGGGCTCATGTAAGAGCTAGTAGCGGATGTAACGCCGCTAAGGCGGCCCTTGGCTCACCGGGCCAACGGTCATCGTACCAACGGTACATTCAAGAACTATTCATAATCTTCCAATACCAAACGGAATTTATCAATACCACCTTTTTATCGTTGGATATTTCCCTTCGTAACTGCTTCGCCAACTGCCGAGCTTTGTTACAATTTTGGTATCTTTGACCAACCGGTCAAACGACCTCGGAGTCAAGCACTCCATCGCTTCCGCAATCACATTCTAATTTTAGAACCATTTTCTATCTAACTCACATGGCGAGCCCAAGGAACCCCCAACGCGCCCAGTCGGCGGAGGCCGACCACGAGCGCTATCAGCTGCGCCAGGTGAGCCCCTCCAAAGCGAAGAAACTGGTACATAAGGTCCAGGAAATGTACGATAAGTACGTGAGACGTGCCCAGCGTAGGGGCATCACACCGCCGTCGCACATGTTTGACAAAGTCAGACAATTTTGTGATGAGCAAGACTATCGCTCCGCACTAGGCTTCCTAATGGAAGCTAATGAGGAACTCTCTTATGTGCAGAAAAGCCGCGAACTGCGGGAACGCTTAGCCACTGCGGCGCAGGATGCCGACAACAACGGAGCACACGACCCAACAGGGCCAGGACCATCGCGCCCACATACTGCGCAGCCAACGGCTGCCGCCACGGGGCCGACCAGGGTAACTTTGCCCACGGCCGCGCTCCAGCCGCAACGCGGCACACGGCAGGGTGAGTTGCACGAAGAGCGTGAATGTAATGACACCACTGCGGCTGACCTCGTCCCGCCTGAGGGGGGGTTGCCACCACTTTCCCACCCACACCACCCAATTGGCGCAATGCCACCATGTAGATTGGTGCTTAGGTCCCCGCAACAAAATGTTGCACGTATTATCACGCGAACTGACGCTATGGACCACATGGCACACCCAACAGGTGGAGCCCCACACGACGACAACTTTAATAAGCTGCTGATGGACAAACTCGACCAAATGTCGAGGAGAATAGAAGGCATAGAGGCGCACATTCAGGCCCAAGCCGGAAAACAAAGTACTGTGCTTCGGGTTTTCGAGGCCTTCTGCAGACGCAAAAATACTGAACGAAGTACGAAATGGCTGCAGTCCACCATTGGTGGATTCCGGGTTGGTTCCTCTATGTCCATCGGTTCCCCACACGAGCTGCCTGAGGCTACGGCGTGGGCAACTTCCTAGGCATCCGCTGTTTTGCGGTCCTTGTTGTAACGCGGCCGTTTGCCGCATAGGTGGCCCTTGCCAAAGGGCTCTCCGCAATGGTAGCAGCTGTTCTTCTCTTTTGCCATCTCGCGAACCCAAGTCGGCATTTCCATGCTGTCACCTCGGCCGCGTCCACCATAGGCGCCACCCCGCCCACCCCCGACAGAATGGCGGCCGCGGCAACCACACCCAACGGGGTGGATCCAGCAACCGTGCTGACCACAACCACTGAGGTGGCCGCTACAGAGGCTGCGGTGGCGGTCGCGGTGGCGCCTATGGCGGACGCGGCTGAGGCAGCAGCATGGAAATGCCGA